CTTTGGGGCTGGTGACAAAGACATGGAACAACTGTCATTTCATACTATCCACAGTGCTGTTTGTTTTGCTACTTGTACCATACAACCGGTTAATGACTCGTCTGTGTAATGTGTCCACAAATGGGCTTCAAGAGCTGAAAAGCATATTTTCTATTAAAACCTATGAAACAGGATATTCAGCTCCTAGAAAATGATGAATACGTTTATAAAATCAACATGATGATGAAAAAATCATCCACTCCTGTTTGAGTTTGAACTGAATATGAATATTTTGAATATTCTGCTACTGTACAAACTCAGGGGTTATTATTATTACACACACTGGAAGACAAACCTGCATTTATGCTTCATATTAATTTTTTTTTTTTAGCGACCAAAAGTACAAGAAACTCAAATAACTACATAATTGTGTTCTGGGACATATTTCTCACACACTAATCCTCAGAAATTAATTTAATACCATTTTAAATGTAAAATATACAAGAAGACGGATCATTTCCTGTGTGACTGGTGAAAAACTTGCCCTTAATTGCCATAAAAAATATCTCCACACATCAACAAATAATACAGGACAATGAGAAGACAATACAGATCTGTGATTTGATCTGTCATACTGCCTTGTAAATGTGAAAATGTTTTTTATGGTGTTCTTGATGAAATAAAGGTTAAGGGTGAATTTCACCTGGAGATGTGATTATATTTTAAACCAGTGCCAATAACTTCTATTTGGACTCCATTTGGATACACTTGTTTCCTCAAGGTTCATGCTTGTTTTCAGCTTCATAGGCCTACATGATATTGTATAACCCACCATATTCATGTTTTACATACTTGGTTATGAGGATTACATTGCAAAAACATTTTAATTTGAGTTCTTTTTAATAAACGTTAGCCAATTGTGCTTTTTGGTTTCAGTTCACTAATTGTACTGTTTACAAAATATTTTGAGATCAAAAAATAGGTAATAGGTGGACCACCTGCAGACCTCCAGTTAAACCCCCTGTTGTAAAGGAACAATTGTCCCTGTTTTTGCCAAGAAAAACACACATGCAGTGGTGGTATTACAGCTTACTGTACCTTAGTTGAAGATACTCCACAGACTTCAGATTTTGTTGTTTGTATCTCCATGGTTCATCATTTGTGTCAGTTCTGCAACACAAGCGCTGATTCTTATCTTATAAGAATAACCGTCGTTATCACAAATCACTACGGAACGTGTTGGATTATGATAATGAAATTTCGCTCCGGGACGCGTAGTGGCGCACTACTCGTGACGCTACATGAGTCTTTTTTCACGCTGCATGCAGAGACAGTGAAGAAGACAAGAAGAAGTCAGCTGCGATTCAAATTTTACCGCTCGTAGGCTGCAGAGCTGGACGACCGGTGTTTATTGTCATTTAGTTTATCGACGGAGTTGTGCGTTAGTACGGTACAACGATGTCTTGTCGTAGAAGGTAAGTGTGTATAGTGTAAGTGGAGACTGTTAAACAGCCAAACCAGCGCGAGATTAAATTATATTATGGCCGTGTCTCATTATCTTGTGTATATCGTGGCTGGCAATACAAATCACATGCTAGTTACATAACGTTACATTACCTCTTTTTGGTTATACAGCGAGTTTTACTGACTCTGTAGTAATTTTAAGTAGCTAAACGTATTTTATTACTCATGTCTAAAGTCTTGCTGATCTGTTTTGTTGTCGTGAGCCTTATTTAGGTGTTCATATGATCAGTGTTGGGGAGTAACTAG